CCTGTGAGGGAGTTTCAGTCGTGAGGGAGTACCTGACTAGAGTTACCCTCTCACAACACACAGACATAAAATCAGGACAAAATATAATATAAAATATTATAAAATATAAATGACATAAATATAATATATATAAAATAACTATAAATGAAGAGCAACCAATGCAGGTTCTCTCTCTCTCTCTCTCTCTCTCTCTCTCTCTTTGGTACTGGGGGTTGAACTCAGGGGCACTTGGCCACTAAACTACATCTCCATCCCTTTCTTTATATTTTATTTAGAGACAGCGTCTCACTTCATTGCTTACGGCCTCACTAAGTTGCTGAGGCTGGCTTTGAACTCACAATCCTCCTGCCTCCACATCCCAAACTGGTGGGATTACAGGTGTGTGCCACTGTGCCCGGCCCAATGCAGGTTCTTCAGAGATGATCCCTACATTTACCTAGGTGTTTTTCTGAGAGCATTTTCTGAAGTATGGTCTGAGGAGGTAAAACCAAGACAGGGACCAGCAATCTTAATGGTCATGGGAGTCTGAAGGTCATAGCTGCTGGTGTGACTGGAATTTGAGAAGAAAGCAAAATGGAGAAAGCCATAGGTCAGGAGCCTGAAAGTCTCCAGAAAAATGCTCCTGAAGTGTTTAGCCACCTGCTAGGCTGCACATGAGCAGCAAATAAGATGTTCTAGCAGATAACAGCTTCTAGAAGGTGAGAGCTGTCAGATAAATTCAGTTGCAAGTTCCGGGGAGGGGAGACATTGGGCCTGGCCAGAATGGAGAAGTCTCGAAGCATTCTCCAGTTATTCAGTGGAGACTCCAGAAAAGCATCATGTTAGGAATAAGGACTACACCTAAGAAGGACAAACGAAACTAAAACAGTTCAAGTGATAGAAGCCTAACTTCAAGCCTCAAAGCCTACTAAAAGTTAATATTCCTTAGAGAAAATAACATAATCTACAACATATTATCCATCTTGTCTAGCTTATAACGAAAAGCTCATAAATGTGAAAAGAAGCAGGAAAAACCAAATGACAATAAATAAAATAGTCAACAGAAGACCCAAGGATAATCCACAGAGTTAGCAGATAAGGACTTTAAAACAACTATGAATCATATGTTGAAGAAAACATTTAAAAGAGAGACAAGAATAAAGTGACTCTACAAGAGAATTATAATCTTTAAAAAATTAAATAGACACTCTGATAGGCAACCTCTGCTATGGGTCCCTAATAATCCCCACTTCCTGTTTGATGCCCTTATGGAATCCCACCTTTTGAGTGTGGTATGCATTGACAGATTCACTTCAGCATAAAATGTGGCAGAAGTGAGATGTCACTTCCAAAATAACATCAAGACTGTGTTTCCATCTTGGGTGCTCATGCTTATTCTCTGAATGCCTGCCATTGAGTAAGAGGTGCCCTGTCGTCAGGTAATTCTGTGGAGACCCACGAATTGTGACACCATGTGGTGAAAAGCAGGACCTGCCACCAATGATGTGGATAAGCTCAGAAGTGGATACCCTTACCACTCCTGCACATGTTCTCCTCCCCACCACAGCTGATCCTTCAATGAAACCATGGTGCCAGCTGGCGGCAACTGAGGGACTCATGAGGGACCTTTCACCAGAGGAAACCAGTTAAGCCTCACCTGAGTTTCTGATAGGAACAGTGAGATATTTAAAAAAAAAAATTTTAGTTGTAGATGGACACAATACCTTTATTTTTATGTGGTGCTAAGGATTGAATCCAGTGCCTCACAAGATGTAGGCAAGCACTCTACCACTGAGCTACAACCCCGTAATATTTGTTTTGACTGCTAAATTCTGAGGTTTTTTTGTTTAAAGAAATGGGTAATATAGACATTCCAGAACACAAAGCACAATAGCTGATGTTAACTCATTAGGTGGGTTTAACACAATGGACACAGCAGGAAGTAGAATTAATGTGAGGAACAGGTAAAAGATGCTATGGTGGTAATAAGTACTATTCCCTCATACAGAAGTCTTTTAATTTTTACCATTCCTACATACAGATACATGCTATGTATGAAATACACTACCTTGAAAGAATGTTTGAAAGACTCCAGAGTTTAAAGATGTCACTTCTTTTATTAGCACATTAAAGTTATACGTGGTCTTGGGTTCCTTTTGACAAAATCATGCCGCTTGGACTTATTTATTCCACTTTAGTCTCGGTTTCACCTTTTCCCTCTCCTCCACCCTCCCCATTCTCCTTCCTCTACTCTACTGTTCTTTCACTCATTTATTTTTGACTGGTGCTTTCTACATATAAAGGTGGAATTCCTTGTGGTATATTTATATATGCACAGAATGTAACTTTGTTAAATTCATTCTGCATTTCCCCCCTTTCTAGTTCCTCCTCTCTCCCTATCTCCTTCTATTCCACTGATCTTTCCTATATCGTTATGATATCTCATCTCCCCCTCTTTTGCTCTGGCTTATTTTGATCCAGCCTCCACATGTGAGAGAAAACATCTGACCCTTGTTTCGGAGTCTGGCTTATTTCACTTAGCATATTCTCCATTTCCATCCACTTACCAGCAAATGCCATAATTTCATTCCCCCCCCCATTCTTCTTTATAGTTGAGTAAAATTCCATTGTGTGTGTGTGTGTGTGTGTGTGTGTATCACATTTCCTTAATTTGTTCATCTATTGACCTATTGATGGGCATCTGGATTGGTTCCATTATTTGACTATTGTGAATTATGTTGCTATAAACACCATGTGACTGTATCATTATATAGTATGTGATACTATAGTTCTTTTGGATAAATACAAAGGAGTGGGATAGTTGAGTCATATAGTAATTCCACTTGAATTTTTTTTAAGAATTTCCATACTGCTTTCCACCAATTTGTAGTTGTACTAATTTGTAGTTCCACCAACAATGTATGTGTAATTTCCCCCCACATCCTCACCAGCATTTATTATTACTTGTATTTTTGGTAATTGCCATTCTGACTGGAGTGACATGAAATCTTAGTGTAGTTTTGACTTGTTATTTCCCCGATTACTAAAGACAATGAAGATTTTTCATGTATTTGTTGGCCATTTGTGTTTCTTCTTTTGAAAAGTGTCTATTTAGTTGTTTTGCCCATTTTTTGACTGGGTTATTTGGCTTTTTTGTGTTAAGTTTTTGAGTTCTCTATATATTCTGGATATTAATCCCCTGTCAGAGGAGTAGCTGGCAAAGATTTTCTCCCATTCTGTAGGCTCTCTTAAAGATGTTATTTCTTTATTCAAAGTAATCTCAATCAAAATCTTTATAAAATTATTTTTTAAATCGACAAAAAAAAAGTGAATGGAATAGCTGGGGATGTAGCTCAATGTGGTACAGCACTTGCCTGGTATGAGCAAGGACCTTGGTTAGAGCCTCAGTACTGCATTAATAAATAAATAAATAAATAATTTTACTCACTGGGGATATAAAGCAGTGTATAAATCGGAGCTGGGGTTTGATAACAAGCATCAAAAAAGGAGAAAAAAGATTGCCAAAAATATTTGAAAAATAAGACTTGTTTAGGAATATCAAAACATACCTAAATCTTGAGCAATTAAAATTGTTGGTATAAACTAAAGGAGAGAACATCAATGGACAGAAATTGATGCTTGTGTTTATACTCCTTGAATATGATAGAGGTATACCATTTTGATTGTGTGATAAAAAAATTCTCAGTGATTAACATAAAATGGTAATTTTTTTAAAAGTATTAATAAAAAAGAACATATTTGTAATCTTGAGGTAGGAAAGATGTAAGATGTAAAATACTCAGTTTATTATTATTATTATTAATTATTATTATTATTATTATTTGCAGGGCTGGGGATCAAACCCAGGTCCTAGCATTCAGTAGGCAAGCACTCGATCACTGAGCTACAACCCCTTCCCCATATATTAATATATAAATTTCTATATTTCGCCAAGTACATTCATTCACTCCTGTAATCCCAGCTACTGAGAAGCCTGAGGCAAAAGAATCAGGAGTTCAAGTCCAGCCTGGGCAACTTAGCTAGATTCTGCCTCATAAACAAATAAATTTCTATAAAACAAAGCCATAAACAAAACTGAAAAGAAAAAAGAAACAGGATATATGAAAGCCGGGACAGTGGCACACGCCTATAATCCCAGCAACTCCAGCAACTCGGGAGCCTGAGGCACGCAGATCCCAAGTCAGCCTCAGCAATTTAGGAAGACCCTCAGTAACTTGGCAAGACCCTGTCTCAGAATAAAAAAGGGATGGGGATGTAGCTCAGGGGCAAAGCGCCCCTCAATTCCTGGTACAAAAATAATAATGAAAAAAAAAAAAACCTGAGAAAGATTGGGCGATGCAGGATCCTACCCAAGCCAGTTGGGGTCCCACAGCTAAACTCAGCCCTGTCCTTTCTCCCTTCCCCAGTACTTCCAAGGTGTCAGTTCACTGATTCTTCAGAAAGACGGAGAGACGCCTACCGGGGAGTCGGGCAGGGAGGCAACTTAATGTGGCAGGTGGAAAGTGCACCATCTGTTTCCTCACCAGTAAAATGGGGATGCTCACAGTACCTGTCTGGCCTATGAGGTTAAACTAACTAAAAAAATCCAGTGCACCGCCTGTCATGTTGTTAGCTGTTACTTTTTCCGTTACAGTTCGAGGTTCTCCTTGGTGTTCTGCGAGAAAATGCCAGCAGACAGCTTCCCAAAACGGATGTCTTAAGGTTCTTTCCAGGTTTCTTGCTCAGGTTCCTGGGTTGCTTCTGGGCGAGATCCACGGCTTGGGATGTCAAGTCCTTGTCTAAAATGGGGTGATGCTGTGACCTACCTCCCAGGGCTCAGAAGTGCCCAGAAGCTAAAGCCAGGAGGCGCTCTAACATCTACCGCGCTCCGGAAGAACTGATTTTTAGGAAAATAAATCGGCAAACAACCTGTTGCTGCAGAAAGCCGCCATGGTCCAGGCCAGGGCCACTCAGCCCGGGCGCCTGTATCTACCTCAGACGTCCCCTCACGGTCCTGCTACCCACGCCCAAGCAGTCGACGGGAAACCTGGAGCCCGCGCGCCTAGAAACGCTGCAACTAGGCTGCTGCACTCAGTTCCAGATCCCGAAGCAGTTTCCCGGCGCCCGAGGGCCCTTCGGAACAACAATTCAGCAGCCCAACTGCGGAGCCGCATTTCTGCCAATCAGCGTGCGCCGTTCTCCGAGCCTGGCTACTCCCGCTTAAACAGAGGCTCCCAGCCAATCGGAGAGCCCCGGAGCCGTCCTCCCGCCTACCAGCAGGGGGGCGTGGCGTCTCATTGTAGCCAATGAGGACGACATCCTTCCGGGAGCACGCGCGCGTTGGAGGCGGTGCCTCAGCAAGATGGCGGCGAGCAGCCTGCGCGGGGCTGTTGCAGCGGCCAGCACCTCCGTGAAGCCCATTTTCAGCCGGGACATGAACGAGGCCAAGCGGAGAGTGCGCGAGCTCTACCGCGCCTGGTATCGGGAGGTGCCAAACACTGGTGAGAGGCAGCGGCGCAGGCGGGGCCCCGGATGCAGCTGCCCAAGGTCTCACGACCGAGCCGAGGTCACTAGCTTGGGCAGAGGCGACTGTGGGTGCTTCAGGGGAAGAGGGTCACTCGAGCTAAGGTGGACCCGACCTGAAGGCAGCGCCGAGGTCAGACCAGTCGTTCCTAACATCCTACAGAGGTTCCAGACGCGCTCGGCGCTCTGGTGTCCTGTCTCCTAGTTCTTCCCGAGGCCTAGAGGGAGAGCAGGGACTGTCGGTGACAGACTCATTATGCAGGTGAGGCACCTGACGGCACCGAGAGGCGAAGCGAAGCGTGGCCCGGAACCCAGAGTCAATTCTAGTTCCAAAAGGCAGTTTCAGACACCCATTGGGTTTTATAAACAAAGTGGCCATAGGATTCGGGCAGTCATCCAGTTCCTGACACCACCAAAAAGTGAACCAGAGAAGGGAAGTGACTTTCCTAAGGTCGTCCTGTAAGCCAGCGACTCCTTTTCCAGTCTCTTCAGGCTAGATGGCTTCCTTGCCCTCCAGTCTCCCAAGATTTGCTGGTCTCCCCACTTCTACCGCAGAACCCCTTCCTTCGCCCAGATGGCAGAGATTCAGTCCGTTTAGCTGGAGGATTAGTATGTAAACTCCCTGTGTGCAGAGCTTGTTTTCTTATCTTGATTTTCCCGGCTGCCCACTGTATTGGATAAAATAAAGACTGGGGGAAATCCCACCTAAACTTTCAGAGGTAGTACAACTGTGAGACTGTCCATGCTTTGTTATCTTGTTGTTCTTAGTGTGTTTTAACTTGGACCTTCCCTGCTAGTCTGAGGGGTAAGGCATGTTTGAGTGAGTTGGGAGCATTGTAGCACCTCTCAGAGCTGACACTTCCCTATCTATGAGAAGCAGCAGAATGTGGAGATTAGAATAAGCCTGCACTCATCTCCAGGCTCTGCCCTTTAGTAGCTTTGTGACCTTGGGTAAGTTATTTCATCTATGTTTCAGTTTTCTCATCTATAAAATGGGGGTACTGATAGTATCTTCAGAGAGTTACTGTGTTAGGTAGGTTAATATATCCAAAGTGCTTAGAACAGGGCCTGACACTTGGTTAACACTTATTAAGTTATTGGCTACTGTTGTTTTTATAGGGCTTACCCTAGAAGGAGCTTCCATGTAGAGCCCAGTTCTTTAATGTGGGAACTGTGCTCCACAGTCCCTGTCCTCAGACTGACTTTTTGAGAGATTGCTAGTGACCTTAACTTAAACCCACCTGAAAGAGAGGAACTAAGGAGGACATGACATGGCTGAGTTGAAGATGGAACCCAGGTATTGCAAGTGTCAGGACCCAGCTCTTTCTAGATCATCCCTTCCCAGGATCTTCCTTCAAATGCTGTTTGGAGAGAGAATCCCAGAGTTAGAAGGGGCCTGAGAGGGGAAAAAGAAGGTAGGGGTTACAGGAGCCTAGAAAGCAGGGTCAGAATGGGAGGCAGGGAGTGGTCAAGGGAGCAAAGGTCAGACCTATAGGGAAGGTCAGTAATCTGTAGCTGGTCAGTTACTTAGATGCTACACTGTCATGCATCACTGGAACTCCAGCTAAATAATCAAATCAAGGATTGGGAATAAGTAATAGAATTGATGATGATTAACATTTATTGAAATGTTTACATATGGCCCAGAACTATGCTAAAGGCTTTACATTGCCTTATTTTAAGTCAGGCTTTGTTTCCTGCCTTACAGATGAGAAAACTGAGGCACCCAGACTTGTCTGGGGTCACACTATCAATGAGTGGAAGAGCCAGTTTTCAGACCCTGATTATTCAACTCTAATATGTGGCTCTTGGCTCTAGTAGAGTGTGAGCTTAATATGTATGAGGCCCTGGGTTCAATCCCCAGCACCAAAAAAACTGGCTCTGAATGCCTACTGTCGTTTCTCTGAAGCTTCTGGGATCCACTTTGGCATGGGAGCACTAGGACAGAACTGCCTTTGAATCCCTTCTTTGGAAAAAAAAAAAAAAACTATGCTGCTTGCTGGCCAGAAGATATCAGGAGGCTTTCTACAGAAAATTCATTGATTTATTCTACATTTCACTGGGCACCTTTTGTACTGTAGGGTCAATACTAGATACCTAGAATGAAACAAACGTGAATAAAACACTTTTTGTTCACCCACAAGGCCTTTAGGGTCTTGTGGTCAAGTGAGGAAGGTAGGCACATAACCAGATAATTTCCTGGTGTATCATGGAAGTGGCAGGGGAAATGCTGAAAAATTTTAACAGCCAACATTTGTTTCATGCTTTACTGTTTACAAAGTGCTGTTCCTTATTCTCTACCATATTCCTATATAGCAATTAGATTAGAGGTTATTTCCTTTCCTATAGAGAACACAGGCAAGAAGGTATACCCCAGACCAAAATTGGAATGTCTCTCTCTAGGAATGTTCATACTGATGTTGAGGCTTTACCCAGCCTGTTTGACCCCTGCCCTTGTGTTCTTTTCCCTTATACCATGCTGCCTCGCATCAAAGGATCACCTGGTGTGAATGATACCAGAATGAACTGCAGCAAAGGCTGACAACTGTATCAGTGTTATCCTCCCTGATCTGTCAGGAACCTCGGAAAAGCCTTATTAAGTTTGGGAAAGCAGACTGGAAAAGTCATCTTTCATCCAAAAGGGATTCTTACTTATCTTTTGAGCCTCTCAAATGGAAATGTTCAATATTTAAAGAATAAGCCAGGAGTCTGTGAGTTGAAAAAGAACAGTTGGAATTGATTTATAACAGGGCTTTCCAACATTTGCACTAGATAGTTTATTGTACAGGGCTGTACTGTGCATTGTAGGCTGTTGAACAATATCCCTGGCATCTACCTATTAGAAGCCAGTAGCATTCTCCCCTTAGTTGTGACAGTCAAAAATGCCTCCAGAAATTACCTACTGTTCTGGGGGGTAAGATCATCCCTGATTTGAGAACCACTGATTTAGACCAAGTTCAGCAGACTAGAGCTAGGCTGTTTTCATTTGATTTCCTTCAGCCTTTCTCACTGGTGAAGGGTTGTGTTCAGTTGGCTGAGATGTGAGGATGGCGCCTGGGACAAAATTGGAATGTCCCTTTCTAGGGAAGAGTTCCCTGGGGGGATGGGCACTGAGGAAGGGGAGCTGATGGGTACCAGCTCCCGTAAGTATCCCTGGAAGCATTGCCTCTTAAGGTTGGCAGGAATTTGATATAAAAGTGTAGGAAAGGCAAGCACTGATAGCAGAGGAAGATTCCTCATATTTCTCCTCTTAAATGAGCACAAGATTGTAAATGAAAAAACAAAGCAACAACAACAAAAAAAAACCACCTGGATTCTAGGCCCATGTTTTCCAGGAACACTTGTATATGATTCCCATAGTGCTCGTGCCTGATTTTTCCTGAAAGAGAAATTCTGAATCCCAGGTCCCATACTAGTTTTCATTTGTTTTTGCAACTCTTTGTCATCCTATTGTACTTTTCTGTGCTTTTTTGTGAAATCTCTAATGTGATAAAGGGATGACCAGCTTTCTTGGGGGTGGAGGAGTGCAAAATTTATACACACTACAGTTTACCATTTCCTGTGGTATAAATATTCCCGCCATGGTTGATTATAAGCTACCAAACTGAAGGCAAATTTGGGAAGTGATTACAAAATTGGCTGTCCTTAAGGACCTGCTCCAGGACAACACTGGATACTTAAATGAGTGATCATCTCTGTCATTAACATTAACATTTATTCACCTGTCAAGCTGGGATGCCAGTTTTGTTAGATGTCTGCTATTGCTTATTCTATGGTCAAAGAAACCTTGTTTTCTTTGCAACATGGCATGTTATTTCCTTGGCAGAAGCTTTATTACTCCATGGCTGTCGCTAAGTTATGAGTATGGTGAGATAGCCCTCATAAGTTTTCAGAGTTAGTTGTGATAGTTCTGTAGATCAGGGTGGCCAAGCCCCAGTATTGGCCTCAACACAAGGCATCCTCACCCAGTGAGTATACAGTACTAGTTCTAGCCTGTCAGCCTTGCTTGCTGTCCCACCAACCTACTAGGCGCCTCACCCTGTGTGTATTCCACCTGGCTCACAGGGCCTATTCATACCTGTTATCAGCACTCCACGGAAATTGGCTGAGTGCCAGGGGGTGAGAATACAAGTGACTGAAACCTAATTATCAAAGGACATCCACATGCCTGTGTGCCATACAAACTTGAAGGTCTGTCACTATTTTAGGTGCTAACTTAAGGGATTGGGAATATTATGATTTTATGTTTGCAGTCATGGATGACTGTTCCTATAATCAGAATTTAATACCTAGAGAACTGGAACTATATCTTCTGTCCTTCCAAGAAACCTGCTTGTTGGATTAAAGCCTTCCCTACCTGCAGAAACCCTTAAGCAATCTCTCTCAACTCCCAAGTTCATGTGGTACTAAAGCCCATGCCATATTATTTTACATAAATTTCAACCCTGTCACCATATTGTAAGATTGTTCCATATAAAAATAATGCTAATTCTCAGGTGTGGCTCAGTAGTAGAGCACTTGCCCAGCATGAACAAGGCTCTGAGTTCAACTGTCTGCACCACAAAAAAGAAAGGAAAAGCTGGGTATGGTGGCAGGTGCCTCTAGTCCCAGCTACTCAGGAAGCTGAGGCAAGAGGATCACAGGTTTGAGGGCAGCGTGGGCAATTTAGTGAGACCCTGTAATTAATAATTTTTGTATTTATTTTTTTTAATATTTTTTAGTTTTAGGTGGACACAATATCTTTATTTTATTTTTATGTGGTGCTGAGAATCGAACCCAGTGCCTCACGCATGCTAGGCAAGCTCGCTACCACTTGAGCCACATCCCCAGCCCCTGTATTAATAATTTTAAAAAATATATTTTTTTAGTTATACATGGACACAATATCTTTATTTTGTTTATTTATATTTACTTGGTGCTGAGGATTGAACCCACCGTCTCACACATGCGAGGTGAGTGCTCTACCGCTGAGCCACAATCCCAGCCCTGTATTAATAATTTTGCGAACATTTATCAGGAGTCAACTCCATGTTAGGCACTGCTGTAAACATTTTGTATCTCACAGCATCACAACTCTAGAGTTATGCATCTTATTGTCTTGTTGTCTCACTTCACTGACTCAAGCACAAAGTTGTTAACTTACACAGAATCACGTAGCTGACAACAGCAGCTGGGATTTGAACCCAGGTTGATCACACTCTTCAACTGTGCTACATACTGTTTCTTCAAATGCTGTGGTCTTATCTCCTGAAACAAAATGTAAACTCACTGAACCATGTCTCACACATCCTCACGTCCTCAAGCAACTAGCTGAGGGTTAGGCTGACATTTGGTGCACGGAATGAATGCACAATCTGTGTGTTTTCAGTGAACATCCACTGACTTAAGTTTTTAAAAACTATTTTAGCTGTGTAATTTCTATCCCAAATCTTGTTTTCTCTTTAGTGCACTTATTCCAGCTAGACATCACTGTGAAACAGGGACGGGATAAAGTCCGAGAAATGTTTATGAAGAATGCCCACGTCACAGACCCCAGGGTGGTTGATCTTCTGGTCATTAAGGTAACTGACCTTCCCAGACCAGCTTAAAGGACCGGCCAACTTGTCCCAGGCGTTTTCAGTTTCCCCAGATGAACATTTTGCCTCCAAGTTAAAAAAGTAACTACTGGTTCAGCAACTATTGCTGTTTCAGAGGAGTACTTGAACTTGGAGGTTATCCCCTGATTAAATAGACTAAGATTGATGAAGGGAAAATCTACTGGGGGGTTCCATTTTAAAACCAAGAATCACCATGTAGGAGGCTGAAGCAGGAGAATCACAAATTGAAGGCTGCCTGGGCAACTAAATGAGCTGTCTCAAAAATTTTAAGAAGTGCTGGGGACGTAGCTTAGTGGTAGAGCACCCCTGGGTTCAATTCCAGTACTGCAAAAGCCAACCAACCAAACAAAAAATATATATAGGAGGGAGGTTTGAGCTCTTGTTAACCACCATCCCTGGAAGTTACTGCTTTACCTGGACACCAGCTTAACAGCTGGACAAGGCAGACAAGCTGGGTGTGAGTCCTGTGTAAATGGTAGTCAAATTCTGGGCCTGATTCTATCTTCCTGTTCAGTTATATTGGTATCAATAGGAGCTTCAGTGTGGATCAATAAGTCACCCAGGAGAGATGTTAAGCAGAAACGTAAAGCAGTCAGTTGTAGAGGTGACTATCTGAAAGTCCTCCAAAATTATTTAGTCCCATTTCAGTTTCCACATACAAAAACTACCTCACAGGGTATATATTTGTCCAAGGTCATTCAGGTCAGTGCCAAGCACAGAATAGAATCCAGGACTTCGGAACTGTGTTCCTTCACCTTAACCACCTCTCCTCTTACTTGTGCAGGGAAAGATGGAATTGGAAGAAACAATAAAAGTGTGGAAGCAGCGGACACATGTTATGCGGTTCTTCCATGAAACAGAAGAACCCAGGCCAAAGGATTTCCTGTCCAAATTCTATGTTGGCCACGACCCATGAAGCTACTCAGTGGAAAGGTGCATATTGATATATTTAATTACTATATACAAATAAACATATACAGTTAAACTCATGGTAGAATTCTCTTGGTGAACCAATTTCCTACAGTCTCTCTCACCAAGCCTGAAGAAGTAGGGTGTTGGTACACATACCCCTGTCATTCCCTTTGCTTCAGTTGTGTAGTGTGCTATAAATTAGATTGGATTCTTCCTCAGAGTCTAACATGTCAGTAAACAGGAAGAGATGAAGCCATCTCTTCAGAAGCTCACACTGGATATGAGGCTGGATGACTGTAAATTTAGTCATGTTTCCATAGCCTACACAATTGGATGCCTTGGTATTAGGGCACAGATAATCCAAAATTAGCCATTTCTGGCTGTTAGAGAAGGGTCAGAGCAACACTAACGGGCATGGAAAAAGACCTGACACGATGGGCCATTTTCCTCTCTGGTTGCGAAGAAAATTGATGGCCAGAGGCTTAACCCCTGTCTTTCAACAAGCACCAGTCCTCATAGTGAAATTCAGTTCCTACTCTTCAGGCAGGCTGCTAGTGCCCCGCCTATTGGATGCATACACAGAGAACAGAAATGTTCCTGTTGATTTTGCACACTGGTGTAGCTCTAAATATAAGGAGAATAAACATCAGTGGAGGTTAAAGAACTGATTCCTATTTGTTTTGGATGGTATTCTCTGTTCATTCCCTGGAGAGTCCAAATGCTGGAGAAAGGAGTTCAGTATCTATAGGTATAATCACTCAGAGGATTCTTACACTTTTCAGCATAAAGGATTCCTTTATTTTTGCCTAAGGAACCCAAGTTTTAAAAGGTCATTCTTATGAGCTGGGTGTGATGGCACACCTGTAACCCCAGCGGCTCAGGAGACTGAGGCAAGAGGATCACGAGTTCAAAGCCAGCCTCAGCAATGGTGAGGCACTGAGCAACTCAGTGAGACCCTGTCTCTAAATAAAAATACAAAATAGGGCTGGGGATGTGGCTTAGTGGTTGAGTGCCCTGAGTTCATCCCTAGTACCCCCCCCCCCAAAAAAAAGATTCTTATGACACTAAACTAGCTGTAAAATAATAAAGCTCCTAATAGGCGCATAGCTAGCCAATGTTACTAACAGACCAAAAAAGCTTGAGGCTTTAGTTAGCCTGTGCAGCTTTGAAGGAAAACTGTTTCTATTGAGCTTTTGTAAATTTAAAAAATAGGTCTCAGGCCTCCTTAATTACCTTTGTGGATCCATAAAGGCCTGGCTATCCTGGGCTACTTCGCAGATAGAGAAAGAAAAGACCAAAATATTGCAACAACTAGAGCCTGCTTTCAGTCACACACAGCTGATATTTATTAATATTATTCATAATTTGACAGCTTGCTTTTTCCGGTGTTCAGTGGACAGCACAACTTGGGGAACCTCCCAGAATGTGGGGATCTGGGCTGTGTTCACAGACCATGCAGGAGGCAGGACTGGGGGGCTTCCCCTGAGCCCTTCTGCTGGTAGGGGAGGAGGGCTGAGCACATCACCATTCCTTCAGCTATGATTTTGTCCTTTCCATACCTCTTCCGTGCCCTGTAAGAAAGGAGAGCAATAGTGAAACTTAAGGCTCTGGTAGAATTTTGGTGTGGATGTGGGTGTTTAAGCACATAATACTGAAATTTTTTAAATTGGTTTTTATTTTTTTGATACTGGGTATTGAACTAAAGGGTATTTCACCGCCACATCCCCATTTCCACCCCAGGATATCACTAAGTTGGTGAGGCAGGCCTCAAACTTGTGATCTTCCAGGGACTGGGGATATAGCTCAGTTGGTGGAACGCTTGCCTAGCATGCACAGGGCCCTGGGTTCAATCCCTGGCACTACCAAAAAAACCCCCACAAAAAACAAACTTGTGATCTTCCAGCCTCAGCTTCCCAAGTTTTCTGGTATTATAGGCGTGTGCCACTCCACTCAAAAATACTGAATGTTGTGAGAAAGGTGAGGGTCACTCAGACAAAGCAGAAGTCACTCTCAGATGAAGGGATAAAGGGAAACTTTATCAAAGACACTGAAGAATGGGTGGAACTAAGACAAAGAGCAGTCTGAGTGACAAGCCAATGCTTGGGGCTAAGAAGGTACTTGAAAAATGATGAATCCTGGGGATAGCTCACCAGAGTAGAACAGAAGGCCTGGTCCTCTCAAGGGCATTTCCTCTTGTGGTTGGGAATATGGAAGATGAGCATGGGATAAGAGGTGTGACTAGATAGATCATGGAAAGTCTTAAATGCAGGCTGAGTCAGGAGTGTCCTTATTTATGACAGCTGTGCTGCCAGAAAAGGACATATCAGAACACAGGAAATCAACACAAGAATGCTGAATGAGAAGAAGGCTGGCACACCTTGGGGAGGGTCTGTGAACAGTATGAACCAGGCAGTTATGCCCATGCTTAGACTGTACTGCTGCAGAGCTGACATGGTGAGGACTTGCCAGTTTCCAAATTTCAGTATGGAGCAGCTGAAATTAAGCTGTTGGTGGTGGGTGTATAAGGCATATTAAATTGACAGGAAATGTATGAGTTGATGAATTAAGAGTACCTCAAGGGCAACTGAATAGATGCCTAAGATCTAGACCTAGTTGAAGAGACAGCAGTGAATTTGTAAGTCAACTGTTATCCCTGTCCAATATAAGAAAAAGGCAAAATAAAATCACTAATCACGAAGTGGATTAATTCATAGAAGTTTCTGACCTGAATGTCAAAATGTTGCTACTGGGCCAAACTGCATCACAGATCACATCAAATGCTCCACCCACTTCCTGCTACTGCCCATTTAAGGGAATAGCAAGTCTTACCTGTTAGTCATCGTCGTCATCATCCTCTGGGACAAAAATGTCATGCTCCTCAAGTAGAGCAGCAAAGTTCTTGCTAATAAGCGTCCCAACATACAGAAAGGGGATCACAATGGAGAACACACGGAGAAGGCCAAAGGACATCTGCAGAGGGTCAGAAGGGTGGCTGTGAGCTCCAGAGCCCAATTTGACAGGAGCATTTGCTCCTGTGGACCTCAACCCCATCCTAAACAACCTGATTTTAATCCCTTGGAAAAACTCGGAGCAAGAAAAATAAAAGAAGATAAAAAAGTGATTGTTGTGATCATGAAAAAAGATACTAGAAAGAAAAGTACACGGCAGTCAGACATCTAAAAACTAGGCACAACCTGCTAATTATTTCTCACCCTACAATCAGGTGAGAAAGTACTAAGAGGACTGAACTACGGTCAACACTTCTTAAAGAAGACACTACACACGTGAAAATTAATTACAAGACAATGTATGGCTATGGGATATTCTATACAATCCAGATAACAGGCTCTCTGATACCTAACAAAGTTGATTTCACCACATAAAATTTTAGAAACAGCTTGTTTGAAAAATGGGCAAGTCTTTACAATGGAATAGATGGATCCCAGAAGATCACCAACATTTCCTCTCCTATTTTCCTGGAGTTAAAATCACTTTGAGAAGCTGGAAGCTGTGGCATGCTCCTGTAATCCCAGCTATTCAGGAGGCTAAGGCAGGAAGACAACAATTCAAGGCCAGCCTGGGCAACTTAGACCCCGCCTCAAAATAAAAAAATGTAGATCAGTGATAAGGTGCCCCTCGGATCAATCCCCTATATTGGGGGTGGGGTGGGGTGATGAGGGTGGAGGTGTGCTGGAGATGTAACTCAGTGATACGGCGATTGCCCTGTTGCCAGAGGCCCTGGGTTTGAGCCTCAACCTGAGAGTGCGGTTGGGTGGTGTTCAATTGTCAATTATACCTCTTTGTAAGACAGCAGCACCTTTCCGGTCTTGCTGTGAAACCAGTCTATGGTTAATTGTGTGAATTAGCATGGGCCAGACCAGCTTTCAAGAACTATTTTTTAACTCACACAGCCCTGCAGTCAGAAAGCAAACTTTTGTTTGGTATAAATGGCTACTTCTATTATGCTTAGAAAGACCCAAGGATACTACTAACTCACAGCACTCGGTGGTGGGGAAAAAAAAAAAAAAAAAAAAGGATCTGGTCGGGGCTGTACTAAGCAAAAAACATGGACGCGAGGACTTAACTCGGCTGTCAGCCTAGGATATTGGCCACCACCCTGGTTCTTCATATACTAGGTCACGACTAATCGGTCCCGCCCCACGTTCCCCTGATGCAAAACTCCTTCACGACTCGCTCTTTCACCCCATCAACTGCGCGCAGAGACTGCATAATCCGCCTGAACTCGATGCACAAAGCTGTCTTCCGGCCCAGAAAAACGGGCACCGTACTTCTCCCGATAAACTAGTGCAAAATACAGCTTTCACCCTTCAACCTCAGTCTCCAATACCCGATTCAACATGGGGTTTTAAACAACATCTCCCAGCCCCAAACAAAACCGGCAACCCCTCAGCGCAAAAATTTGTCCTTAGCCGCCTTCCAGTCTATAGCGATCCTTTGATTGGCCTCTGTTCCTGCCGATCAGCGTCGGCCCGCACGCACTCCCCACAACGATTGGCTTCAGCCCCTTCGCCCCGCCTCCAGGCAGACACTCACTTTCACAGGTTTGGGCAAAATGGCGCCGCTGCGGGTAACGATGACTGACCTCGACGGTACCAGGCTCCGACCTGAGCTGCCCCGTGTGGCGTAGACATCGCCACCTTTCTTCAAGATCGGCCCACTCCGGGGAACACCGCATCGGACAGGTGCTAACGCCAGCCAGCGAGCTGCTCCGGACGCCATCTCCCAGCCCCGCCTCTTGCCCGGGCACCAGTACCCCACAGTCGGGCCTCGGTGCCGCCCTCACGCAGAACGCCACCCCAATCTCGCGACACTTGAAGAAGAACGCGAGAAGCCCAGCCCTGACACTTGCGCAGTGCCCCCAGTTCCTGTTGCGGTGGAAAGAGGCGTTTGTCTCCCGCCCGACGTGGTGACGTCACGAGAACGATACAGAAGTCCCCCTTTGCCCCTCCCGCGGGGCCCTGGTCGGCTGCAGTGAGTTCTGTGACTTTCTTTGTTCCCGGAGGGGTCAGCCGAGAGTGTGTTGAAATAAGCTTCAGGAACCAAAATGAGTAATAATGAAAAAACTTTACTCATTGAATCTTATAAAAAACACTAACAACGGGCGGGAGTGGGCTGAGGGTCTGGGACACGGGGCTGGGAAACAGGCGGGGCCAAAGTGGACCTGGTGGGAGTTATGCCAGCAACAAACCCGAGTCTCTAACCTAACTCAGCTTCTGCCATCAGATACTGGCTTCGCAACTCCAGCCCTGATTCTTCGTTTCTAAAAACATTGTAATAACCAAAATGAGTAATAACCTTTAAAAAAAACTTTAGTGTTTTAATTGTGTGTATATATATATATATATATTTATATTTTTTAAAAAACAGTAACAAAGATAACAAAGGCCTGTAGTATCTGTGTATAAAATAAAGTGCAGGTGGGCCGTAGGGCTCCCGTACAGGGCTGGGAACAAAGCAGGGCAGCAGTGGTCCTGGGCCTAGGGCAGCATCTCAGCCTCCTGAAGTCTGTCTTCGGCCCACTTGGGCTTAGTCCAGCCAAGTGAAAGAGGGAAGCAAGGAAGGGGGTGTCTGTCACCAGGCCCTGCATCTTCCCACCAGTCACTGCCACTATACCTTTAAGGTGACAGGCTGGGCTGGCCTTTGGCTCTGTAGTCCCAGCAGTTTTGCCTTCCAGACAAATAGAAAAACATTTTGCACCACTGCTGGGAAGAGCAGCAATGAGGATTCCTGAAGGTAAAGTCCTGGGAACTGTCACAGAGTTCCCTGGTGGCTTTAGGAGGAGGAGTACCTTTATGGGAGCCCAGCCAGGAGAGTGGGATTTATCACATGGTACTGAGAATCCTAAGCTTCTAGAATACCCAGGACTGAGGACCAAAGAAACAAACTGGCCTTCCCCAGGGGCCACCCTGCCTCCCTGCCTCTTCTTTACTTCCTGCTTGGCAGTACCAAGAGCTAGCTGGCTGCTGAGGACGGAACTCAGGAAAGTTTTTTGCTGACATAAAAGCCCCTCCCAAGGCAAATTTCAGCATTATCTGTGGTGGTTTGGTAGAGGAGGAGTAAGAAGTCACTCTATTTAGCTAAAGGCTGTTTCCTCCAAAGGACCCTGCCCAAACTATGGGGGGAAAGGGGCCCCGTGCCCAGTCTTCCTATCCCTCTCAAGAAAAGCTGGGCCCAGAAATCCCTATAACACAATAAATTCATTTTCACTGACAATGTTAGCCCCTAAGCTGATCTGCAGTCAGCCTCTGGCATTTAAGTGCACATGAGACTCCTGTGTTGGAAATTATGGCTAGAGTCTGGTGTGTAGGTCAAAGGTAGGGCAGCCCCTCTTCCTGCATTTCATTAATATCCCCTGAGAGAGGGGCAGTCCTGTCAGAGTCAGGAGACAGGTTTGCTCTGGGGCTATAGTAAACCACCTTTCCTTTCTGGGTTTCAAAAAGTCAGGGGATTGGAAGCCATAATTCCTCAGTCCCCTCTAGGCACAGGGAGAATGTATAACTTGGAAGGCCTAAAAAAATCAGGAGGGAAGGAACTCCCCTCCCCCCAAAAGCAACCTTGGAAGTGAGTAAACATTTAACTCCTTGAAAAGCACTGGCTGCAGTGTCCTGACCAGCAGGACAGGGCCAGGACTAAAGGCCCAGGCTACGGGCCTATCCTATGGCTTGCATTCTGGCTGGCTCCCCAGGACCCTCTGCTGCCACCCCCGCCTCAGTTCCACAATCTCCTGACCATACCAGTCGTGGAGGGTAGAGAAGCAGGAAGTCTCAGGGGACACAGGGCTCTGCCCCTTGCCTAGGAGGAAGCTGGCAGGGCCCTGCAACTCCCACTCAGCCAAATCCCGCCCTGCTGGCCTGCTGCCCCCTTCCTCACTGGAACCCATGGGGCTGCAGTCGCTGGGGAGAAAGTGTCCATTCTCTGGACTTGGAGACGAGTGGTTGGGAGTCTGTGGCTTACAGCGGCTGCCAGCCACCTTCCGGGTGGCACAGCGGTGCAAGGCCAGGCTCTGGCGGGCTTCCTGCAACTGGCTTTCCAGCTCACGGACCACTAGGCGCATGTAGCCAAAGCTGGCCCTGGACAGCGCCTTTACCCAGGCCTCTTGGGCCGCTTGCCCATCTGCTGCCAGCAGGTGTGGGCGCACTCCTGGGGCGTCAAAGCGGATGGCAAAGGCGAACTCCTCAGGCACCGGAGCCTCGGCCAGTTCCACGGTGCAGCCCTCCAGCACAACCAGGCTCAGCGGGACCCGGCCCTCACGGCTTTCAAAGGAGAATAGCAGATTGCCCTTAAGGACAAACCAGCATCTTCGGCCCGTGCCACTGGGGGTGGGTGGAGTCCCTGGACCCCCCCAAGTGCGCAAGAAGCCTGTGTGGTCTGCGGGGGAGTCACTCAGTGCGTAGTGGGTCACACTCCTCTTGTTAAGCTTCATGGCTCCACAAAAACTGAGGAGAGGGAGATGGTTGCAGATTAGAGAGGGAGGCAGCCCCAGGGGGAAGGACCTGGCCCTGCCTTGTGGCCCTGCTCACTCACTGCATCCCAAGGCTCTTAGTCTTCATACATGAACTGGGCCGGTCTTCCCTACCTTTCTCTCAAAGGGATGTTGTGAGAGGCCAAAAAGTGGACATCCAATGACTCAGGAGAAAGGATATTGCAATTGTAGAGCAGAGGTGTGGTGGGACATTGACATGGTTTTTTAAAACCCAAAGAAATAGGCCCTAGTGTGGCTGAAACAGACGCCAAGCCCATAGAAACAATTCTGCTTCAGTCACCCCATGACTTGCAGGCCTCTCAACTCCAGTTCTGTGGACAGCCCTCCAGAGTCCCCATTGACTCTCCTGGGCTCTCCTGGCCTCTCACTGTATGAGGTGTATGGCACAGTTGTCCTTCACCGGGAATCTGCAGCCTTCGGGGCCAGATAGGTGCAGGGGGCGGGGAGGCAGGCCTGCTTCACAGTGAAGTTCAGAGAAGATCTATTCTGTAAGCAGGAGTGTGGCCCAAACTCAGGGTCTGGCTGAGAAGGGCCTGCCACAGGGGCTGAATGCTTTTGCCCAAGGATCATATAAGGCACTTAATCCCAGTGCCCTCCTTATTCATGGAAAACTGTGACAGCATTGAAGAGGAACTGACCAAAATCACATGACCAGTGAGAAGCAGCCCTTGCTTTGCCTATTCTCTCACACCTTCTTGGGGGGGGGGGGGGGGGGAGTCTGAGGTGGTGATGCACTTACCAAAATAACTCACAAGGGGAGGGCAGTCCCTTCCTGTCTGGCCACACAGCTCAGCCACCTGGTTCCCAGGGGGCCTGCAAAACAGTTCTCAAATGATGAGAATTCCTACTGTGAACTGGGGCAAAGCAAAATGACCATATCCACCAAGAAGCCCTCCCTGCCCCTTGGTAATCCCCACCCATTGACCCAGACCTGGCACACTCAAGGGTCTGGGTCCCACAGTCTTGACCTTCACTGTTCAGACCTCAACTCCCTGCCCTCTGAGACTAGGTCAGAGGTAAGTACCCCCATAGCTTCTTGCTTTCCCTTCTGACACATAGTTTGTGGCCTTTAATTTATGTCACCTAATTAGAGAAGCTTTGCTGGATCACCATACCCAAGGAGGTCCTGATCACCAAGGTGTCTGATAGAAGATTTCCTTCATCCCATAAAGATCCCATTTGCAGGGCTGGCCTTGTGACTCAGTGGGCACTGGGTTCTTTCCCCAGCACCACATAAACAAAAAAACTAAATGCAGCGATTTAAAAAAAAAGTTCCATTTGCATTTTCAGCACTGTCCCCAACCCTAGAATGTCCAGGGCGTATCCAGTGTGGCTCCACTGATGAGCACTGTGCCTGGCTCCTGAAGCCCTGAAGAAGTGGGTTATTTCCAGGCGGGGCAGTGCCCACCTGTAATCCTGCAATCCCAACAACCCGGGAGACTGAAGCAGGAGTGCAGTTTAGCGAGACCCTCAGCAACTAAGCGAGACACTATCTCTAAACAAATTAATTAATTAATTAATTAAAAAGAGGTGGGCAGTAGCTCAATGGTAAAGCGCTCCTGGGTTCGATTTCCAGTAAGGAAAAAAAAGAGGAGGAGGAGGAGGAAGAAGAAAAATGCGTGTTAGATTCAGGGGACTACACCAGTAGGCAAAGCAAAGTCCCCACATTCCAGTGGGGGAGATCCACTGTGAGCAAACAAAAATGAATAATAGCATTATCATTATCATCATCATTATTAAATGGATAATTAAATTATAGTCAATGGGCTAATAAACAAGGGCGGAGTGATAAGGGCTAAGGAGAGAAAGGCCGCCGGGCTGAGGAGGGGCATTTCCAGTTGGGGTGGCCCCGGAAAGGGGAGGAGACCACAGAAGTTGGCCCGAGGAGTGGCCTCAGCGCCCGTCCAGGCCCCAGCGCCGAGCACGGGGAGGGGTCTGCAGCCCGCGGCTCTGGCCACCGCTCGGGCTGCGGACCGGACCCCGCGCCGGCTCTCGGCTGAGGCACCGCGGCATCCCGGTTGCCGGGGCTTGGCCGCTGAAACGGGGGTCGCCGCGGTCGGGACCTCCCCGGCGCGGGCCGCAGCCCGGGCTTCCCGATCCGCGCGGCGCGGCCGTTCCCGCCGCGTCCCGCGACCGCACCTTCCCCGCGCCGCCGCCTCCCGCGCCCGCGGGGCCCGCTCTCACCTCCCGCGCTGAGCGCGCGGCCCACTCGGTGGGCTGCGGCCGCGTCCTGGGCGCTCGGGCGCCGGTCCCGCGCCTCCGCCGGGCTGCGAACGTGGCCGCGGGAGCCGGGGACCCCGCCCGGGCGGCTCGGATTACCGCCCTCGCCCCTCCCTGCCCAGAACGCTCCGGGATCCGCCGAGTCGCCTCGGGATCCAGAACGGCGGGAAACTGAGGTCCCGGAGGGTGGGCACCTGCCCGAACCATAGAGCTGGTCAGTGGAACCGCGGCCCCCAAGCCAGGGCTGCCCCTCGGGCTGTCCGCGGGCCTCCCGCCCAGCTCACCCGCTGGGAGAATTCAGAATCCACTTCCCCACGAGGTCCCGCTCGGTCCTCCGGTCCTGCTGAGCCAAGCCGGGCAAGGCCTCCCCGGTGTCTGCTAAAGGCGAACCCCTGCACAGCCTGCCAAGCCCCGCAGGGCTACACCAGGCCCCTGGGGTCTGCTATCTCTGCCTCTGCAGATTATCCATTTCTGCTTCCACCCTCCAGGAGGGTCCCTCCCCTAAACTCCACCCTGAATTGGCCAACGCCTAGGCCTGCAGTGAAGATCGCTGGAACACACAAAGACCGAGGCTGGGGGTTCCCAGAGGCCCTTCCTGGGAGCCGGTGTACTCAAATATCTAACCATGAACTTGAGAGTTCCCACCTCAAAGCCTTTGCATTTGCAGTTCCTGTAGCCTAGGCAGCCGTCCCTTCTCACCCCCACCCTCCCAGCCCTAACCCCAGGACCCCTTCACAGCACTTTTGTCTCAGGTCAGATGTCCCCTCCCTGGCCACACACTACACAGTAGCCTACCCTGAGGTTTTGAGCACATCCCTGGGTGTGTTTTCATTATAGCATGAGCCACTACAGTAATTCCCTATACTCATGCTTTTATTTCTTATTTATAGTGTCTCCCTAAATAAATTTTATTCAATCAATAGTATAAACTATAATAAATGTATAAAAGGTGATAACTGTGTGGAAAAGATAGACTAAGGGAGATTGGGAGTTGGGGTGAGAAGGCAGGGTAGGCCTCACTGAGAAGATGCCATTTGACAAACACTTGAAGGAAATGAGGGTGCCAGCTAGGCCGATATCTAAAGGAAGAGATTTCCAGGCAGAAGTGACAGCTAGTGCAAGGGCCCTGCCCGCTGTTGTGCCTGAGGGACTGCAAGGAGGCCAGTGTGATTGGAACATCCTGAGGAAGGGGCCAGCAAGCACTCGAAAATCTGGGAGGGCCCTAAGGGCACACGGAGGTGAGTAGCCATCACAGGGTTTAGAGGGAGGCTTGACTGGTTTTCAGGGGTTACTCTGGTTGCTGGTGGATGGAAGCAGGAGACTACTGAGAGGCTGCTGAAATACCAGGTAAGATGTGGTTGAGGGCACCAGAACAGTGAGAGATGGCTGGATGTGAGGTGGATTTTAAAGGTAGAGAGTGCAGAACTTACCAAGAGATTGCATGTCAGGGGCAAGGAGATAAGACTGTATGGAGAACACCAGGTTTTGGCTTGAGTAATCAGAAGTGGAGTTGCCACTATCTGAGATGGTGGCGGGTATTGGGGAACCATAATATTTGAAATCCAGTGGCCATCCAAGTGAAGGTGCCCAGAACAGTATTGAGCACTAAGTAGTTGCTCAATAAATTTAACTGAATGAAGGAGACAAGGAATTTTCAGAGTATCTGGCTGAGCAGTCCCAGAGAGTCTCCTGATTACATGAGCTGTGTCCTCCACCGCCTTTGCTCTCTCTCTAACCCATCCTCCCATAGTAGTGCCCATTCATTTTCACTACTTTTAAGCGTCTTACTATCAGCCATGCTTCAGGACATTTCCTCTAAACAACGCTCTTAGAGGGTTTTCACAGCACCGCCACTTCCTGAGAGCCTACCGTGTGGGGGACACTCTACGCCCTCTTGGGTCCCCTAGAAATGACAGAATTGGCTTCGCTGCAAACCTGGTCACCCACGCGCCCGGACCCTAAGCCGCTGTCGGGAGCGCGCAGGGCTGGAACTCAACGGGGCGGGGCATAGGGAGCTCGTGGGGGCGGGGCATGGGGAGCGCGTGGGGGCGGGGCGTCGGGTGGGTGGGGGCCCACAGAGGGCGGGGTACGTTGCTAGGGGGGGTTCTGATAGGTTGTGCCAGAAGGGTAGCCGAGCAGGGGCCCGCCCACTGGAACGCTGGGAGCGAATCAGGCGAGTGGATCTGTCAGAGGCTCGGGAGGCCGAGGTCGGCAGTGGGTCTGAGCGCCTCGGAGGGGTGAGTGAGGCCGCCGGGACGTTGGGAACCGAAGGCGGGAAGCCGAGGATGGAAGTCGGGAGCCCGGACTGGGCTCAGCGCCTCCGTTCTTTCTGGGCGTCCTGAGCCCGTTGCTGCCGTTGTCTGGCCCCAGCCTGGCCTACGGCTGCCCGTAGGCGCCCGGTTTCCCAGCACCGCGGGCGGGTGAGGTCTCAAGTCCGGGGCAGCCTGTCTGATATTTCTTACGGAAGAGCTTAGGCTCGGGGAAGTAAAGGGGTGGCAAGGGGAAGTGGTCGTGAACCCAGAGCTTCTCTACCGTGTCGTGTCTTTCAGAGCCCAAAATATAAAGCTGAAAAGAGCAGAGATTTGGCCCGGTTCTGAGACGCCGAGTCCAAAGCCATGTTACTGAAGACAGGTACCTACACCGACCCCGGGAGCGACAGCACGGGTGGGGGAGGACTGCATGGAGAAAGTTCCAGCCCTCTGGTTTCTGCCCTTCTTCCTTGACGGGTGTGTGGGGAGACGTGTTCCTCCCATTCATGGGGCTGGGCTAGGAAAGGTGAAGAGGATGCTCCCCACCCAAGAATCGATGCCCCCTCCAAAGAAGTCCTTTCCTTTCTCACCCCCTTTCCCCCAAGTGCAGAGGTCCCATCTTATGCGATGTGCCATTGCTGAGAGCAGTCTGTGAAGTGGGAACAGTAACTCCCTCTGACACCTAAAGAAATAAGCCTGAGAGGGAAAGGGCTCACCTTGTGGGCAGGCTGGGCCAGGTCCTTCCTAGGCAAGCTGTAAACCTTTCGGAAACCTTTTGTCTGTGGTTGAGAGCAGAGTTCTGGATTGGGACTTAACAGACCTGGCCTCTGGCCACATTGTACTGTCAAGTTCTATATATGAGGTGGAGAGGGCTGGTCAAGGGATATAGGAAGGACATGATTTAAAAGTGTCAGTTTTGCTAAGTCCAGTCCTACTGTGGCAACAGCAAGTGGGGAGCCAGATTTCAAACCCATTATCTTGCCCAAAGGACCTCCCCTGCCAACCTCTGCAGGAAGAGCCAATTCTACCCTAATCCCAGGAGTCTGATTCCTCTAATGTGCAAGCAGTGAGAGCAGCATGTGGATGGGGTGGGAGGAGGGTCTGGACTGTGAGAGCCAGTCACAGTCACTATTCTCACCCCCCACTCCCAGTGCTCCTGCTGACCCTGGTGGCCCAGGTGCTGGTGTTAGAGAATGGGCTCCTTCGGACACCACCCATGGGCTGGCTGGCCTGGGAACGCTTCCGCTGCAACATTGACTGTGATGAGGACCCAAAGAATTGCATCAGGTGAGTGAGGTCCACAGCCACCAGACAAGCCTTGCCCAAGGCCTGCAGAGTGCAGGCAGGGAGAGGAGGACCAGCTAACAAAAAGGGCACAGTCAGAACCCCTGATCCCAGAACAAGTACAGGCAGAAGTGGCTTAGAGGATATCTGATATTTAGTCTCATGACCTGCTTGGGGCCTCTGTGCGGCAGGGACATTGCACTGGACTTGGCCCCTGAGGTAATTCAAAAGAGATAATGTGGAAGGCCAAGCAGACCTGTCCCTCATCCTGGAAGCCAGACCCCTCATTTCATCCCACCTAGTTTGTTGTTCCCAACATAGTGGCTTAGTCCGCAGCTGAAAGTAGAGTCATGATTTTTACAGCCCAGATTCAGAGCTGAGGAAGGAAGGGATAGGATGAGGGTCAGGCTGGGCGATCGAGCAGCCCCATGCCCCTTGCTAGTGAGCGGCTCTTCATGGAGATGGCTGACCTGATGGCACAGGATGGGTGGCGGGACCTGGGCTACGTCTACCTCAACATCGATGACTGCTGGATTGGTGAGCGAGATGACAGAGGCCGCCTGGTGCCTGATTCCAAGCGCTTCCCCCATGGCATCACTTTCTTGGCTGACTATGTGAGTTCCACCCCAGCCCTCCCCTGTAGGGGGCTCTTCCTCCCCTATCACCCCACCTGCTTGAGTCTCATGGGGAAACTGATGAATGATCACCACTATGGAGAGAGGCAGAAAGGGCATCCTACTCAGCCTGGGACTCTAGGAAGACCCTTGGAGGAGACAAGTTAGTTCTTGAGCAACCCCAGAGGGGTGGCCTTTGAGGCAGACATGAAGGCCTTGAGGCAAGAAATAGCCAGAAGCGGTGTGATGGAGGGAGGAGAGGCTGGAGCTGGCAGAGGCCAGCCAGCAAGCTGGGACCTCTCCTCTGGTCAATGGGAGCCAGTGAAGGTTTGAATGGGCCCTAGTCAGATGTGCTGATGAGGAGGCTTCCTGAGGGTCCCATCTGAGCCCTCTGTGTTCTCAACCCCCTACAGGCTCATTCCCTGGGCCTGAAGCTGGGCATCTATGCGGACATGGGCAACTTAACGTGCATGGGCTTCCCTGGCACCACACTAGACAAGGTGGAGCTGGATGCGCAAACATTTGCTGAGTGGAAGGTGGACATGCTGAAGCTGGATGGCTGCTTCTCCACCCGCGAGGAACGGGTTGAGGGTGAGTTCCACAGCTGCCAGGGGCCATCAAGTAAAGAGGAAAAGATGGCCACAGGAGCTTGGTCTGTGTGTAGCCCCTAGCAGTGGTTTTGCCAGTTCCCCTTACCCCGGGGCTGAAGGGATGTTCAGGTTCCTAAAAGATGGGGTAGACCATAGCCACCTCATTCTTGGTGTGTGGGAGGTACTTCCTGTTTGGAGCCTGTTTGTTACCTCCTGTTTGGTTGGAAAACATTTGAGTGGAGGCCCCAGGCTGCCTCTGCGCCTGCTCAATCCTCTAGTGGGGGTTGGGCCTTTCTTTAGGATATCCCAAGATGTCTGCTGCCCTGAATGCCACAGGCCGTTCCATTGCCTTCTCCTGCAGCTGGCCAGCCTACGAAGGGGGCCTTCCCCCTGAGGTAAGCCATTCTGTGTACCCACCTGCTAAGGCTCCCATACCCTAGGGTCTCCCTTGTCCTCTGTGTGCCAGGCCACAGGGAGGTAGCTACCAGAGCCAGGGCTGCTCTCAGCACAGTTGCCCATGTGCTTATTTGTGTAGAGAGAGGGCCATAGAGTTTTAAAGAGAGGGCCACAGCCAGCCCAGGGTGTTAGAGAAATGGAGCCCTCATCAACTGAGCTGACGTGTTGGTATCCAAGGCTCATGCCAGCACTGACCACCCAGCAAGTGGGGTCAGTATGCTGGGTGGTAGGTACTGAGTGGGCTAGGAGGTCCAGAAAGTGGTGAGCCAAGCCTCAGAAGGGCCCATGGGCACCTTGATAGCCCCCACCCCCA